CGAAATCGTCAACAATCAAATCCAGCTAACTTACTTAGCGAGGTACGAAGAACGGACCCCAGAACATAAGATGCCACGAAGTGGTTGTAGTACAAGAATGTTTTAATAAAGCAAATTTTGAATGAAGAGGGGAGAGAATACAAGCAGCTAAAAAGGATGACAGCAAAACAATAACTAGATAGCTGTGAAATTGCATCACATATCATCATCATCATCATATAATGCATCACATATTATTGCTCCAAATACATCCAAATGGCACTGAGTATTCTCGAAAATGCAAAAACTGGTGTACATGTTTTAGTTTTTTTTTAAATCTGATATTCAATTAAGGAATTTTAGTAACAGGAAAAACTGTGAGGAATGTGGTGAAGGCGGAAGAAGCTTCTGCTTTCTAGAATTGAGTCTAATTTTTTTTCAAAAGCAATAATGCTCGCCTTGCTTAATTCTACTATAATGTACTTTGTGACTATAGACATAAAGCTGTCTTTCACCATTTTATTCCACTCCTTTGCCAATTCCTCATGAATTCTATCCTGTACTTCAAGTGGAAATTCAAAAGAAAGTGTTTCCCTTTCATTGACCAGGAGATTTTTATACAGATCAGACTTTTCTGCTCTCTCCATAAAAAATTTGTGGGTAGTTATGATAAAATCATGAAGTATCTTTTTATCAATATTTTCAAAAGGCTTCAATATCTCAGAGAGTATTGAATTTATCTTTTTCCGCAAATATTGAGACAAATCTCTATTTTTCCACATATGTTTCACTTCAAAAGGAGTATTCATACATTTTTCAAAGCAATAATGATAAACATTGTTGGAACATGAAATTTTGTCAAAGGTTAAATCTTTAAAATAATTTTCGTATTTTATCCGATAAATCTCTGTATATGCCACATAAGTGAAAATGTTATACTCCTTGTACCATTCAGTAGCTTGGCAGAAAAGCTGTAACATACATGAGATACGTGGGGTATTTACTTTTGTTTTCACAGGCCTTATTAAACACGGACTATAATAAGAATAAATAAAAATTCCTTGTACCTCGTTTCCAGATTGTGATAGAAATAGAGCCAGTTCAGGAAGCATCAATTCTTCACTATGGAACATGGGAGGACCATAACGAGGTCGAAATTCTTTAGAAATTTTGACCTTACCATTCTTCATGAAGATCAAATAAACTACATATTGGTTCACTCTATTTTCTTCTCCAGCTTTTGAATAATGGATAAATAATGGTTTCTTTTTTTGATAAAAAAAAATAGAAATACCAGGACTAATATTTATTTCTATATGTATCCCAAATAATTTCTTTAGTAGAAATTTTATCATCCGTGGCTTGTAAATCCTTGTTAAACACCTATAAAATATTGACCTAAAACTATTTAAAAATAACTGTTTCACCAAAGGAAGTGAAAGATCTGTTCTCAGTTCATTCAGGCTGTTTTCTAAATTCTTAGGATCACTAAAAAATGACAAATTCCATTTGTGAAATGAAAGGAAAGCTTCTTCTTTCTCTTCCTCTCCTCTGTCTTTTAAAACCCCAGGCTCTTCCTGCTGCTGGTTGTCGTTCAGATGGCCAAGGGATGAAGCAGAACTCGAACCAGGGTTGGGAGTCGGATCTTTGTTATTTATTGGAGTTCCAGATTTGACCAAACTGAATCAAATAAGACATAAATACAACTATTAGGTGTTTTTAATTTAATTGTTGTATTTTACAATGTATTTAAAACAACTTGAATTCAGAGTAAGTTGAAAACAGAATTCAGTTTACTATAATCAAGCTAAAACAACATTAATAATAATAACCCCTGATAAATCCAAAGATAGATTTCTGACCCACAGTTACCCCACAATCGGTTCCTTCTCTTACTACATGTACTGTCCCAGTTTATGGCATGAGCTGTTTTGACTACAGGACTTTGTATCATAGGCTTACCTTTGTTGTTCAAATTGGCTTCTACAGACCGACCCGGGGGGACCTAGTGAATGGCCTGCAGAGCGCTGGAACCAAAGTAACAAAAAGGCTACAATCAGTAACACACTACGCCCCCACGGACTCAAATCCTGCAGTGCCAGATATGGTAAGATGAAACCAAACTAGAACTTTTTGGTAAAAACTACTTGTCGTGTTTGGAGAACAAAGCCATTACACCAGCATACAAACAACCATAGATTGTGGAGTTCAACTAACTTCAACTGACCTCAAAACTAAATCAAGAGAGGAAAATAAAAGCAGTTTGGAAGACAGAAAATTCAGCTTGCAGGTCCCTCTTCTGTGGAACCAGCTTTGACTTTGGATTGAAGAGACAGACACTATCTCTACTTTTAAAATACCAAACACATGCACAAAGGCTGATACATTGGTTACCGTGAAAATTAGTTCCGCTCATTGTGTATTTTATGTAGCTTAAATCTTATTGGTTGATCTGATTTATTAACTTAAGTCTAAACTTAATTAAATCAGGTTTTACCAGTTGACATATATTAGCTAAGGTGTTCAAACAGTGAACAATAATGCCTAGAAAGCATATCTGCAAGTATGGAGGTACACCTATTGCAGGCTTTCAAAAGCTAAAATACCTACAAAAAACATACAACTCAAAAATATTTCATACATAAGATAAATAACATGTATCTAAAAAATGATTCTCAACCGTGTTATTATTTTCAGTCACTTATATTTGTTTTGAGTGATTATTAATTGAATATTTTAAAATGTAGGTATTGACTTTCAGGTTGTTTTTTTTTTAAATTTCTTGTATGATAATGATTTATAATTAAAGAATAAGAACTATGGGGCGCCGTTTGTAAAGTGAAACATGCTGAAATTAACGGCAACATTTTTCCACATTTAGCTCAAAACCTTACAAAAAGATATTTTTTCGAGTAAATTTTTACAACATTTAGTAAAATATTTGTAACTTTTCATCAAATGTTAAATATTAAATCTAAATGTTAAATATTAAATCTAAATATTATATTTAAATCTAAATGTTAAATCTAAATATTATATTTAAATCTAAATGTTAAATGTTAAATCTAAATGTTAAATATTAAATCTAAATATTATATTTAAATCTAAATGTTAAATGTTA